CCTAAACCCTAAACCCAAAATAAGGTACCCCTAATTTTCGGAGAGTCCCCTAAGAGACTTTCGGCTCGGCCTTAGGGACTGGAAGTCTCAGGCGGTTTCAACCCTGGCAACATCCGAAAAAACCATATTTAGGTTTTAGGGTTTAGGGTTTGGGGTTTAGGGTTTAGGGTTTAGGGTAGATCATTCGCTCACCCCCAGCATCCCCCAACGCAAGAGTGGACGAATTCGCCTGGAACTCCTGTAAAACGGCATCACTCCGACAAGCACAACTGCACACTAACTAACACCCTGCCAGTTTGGTCGGTCATAGGCTAATTGCTAAGGGCTCGCGCCGTATTCGGGCCCTGTATGTCCCCAAAAAACAAGGCTGTATCTGCTGACCCGCTGAACATGAAAGGCCATGTCTAGCGTATAGTATAAGGTTTAAGGTTCAGGGTTTGGGTTATAAGAACATTGATGAAAGCCCGACACCTGCCAACCCGCAGCACTCCTCAACTAATTATCTAGACCAAGACCGGGATCCCACTCCAACTAGTTAGAGACCCCTGCAAAGTGTAAAAGGGCTTCAACCGTCTGTTGTATGGTAAAGGCTTCCCTTATGGGATGAATACACATGACACGAATGAAATGTAGGGCCAGGGGCCTTGGTTTACGGTACTTATAGTACGGAACCCTCAGGAACAGCCAAATCATTGCAGTATGAACTCCATCGCTTTAGCAGAAAACTGACTGATCGGTGGCCCAAATCCTGCAACAACGGTTTACAGGGGCAAACCCGACTCCTAGCCCTAGACTCAGACGCCTGTAGATGATCCTAAACCATAAACCCTAAGCCGGAACTCCTAATTCCGAAGCCCTTCCCGAGTTACCTGGACTTGAACGGGTTCTCCACGTCGCAGGATCGGCCGGAGCTGGCTGAGGGGAACCCGTTTTCGCAGCTGCTGCTTCGGGCCCTGGAGGATGCAATTGTAGTGAAGAAGCTCGCCCGTAGACAGAAAGTCCTGGGCTCTGACTCAGGAACCAGTAGATTCAACTCCTCATTAACACGCTATTACTAAACAACACCCATACGATTGAGGGATTAGGGTTGAGACCCTACACCCTAAACCACAAGTTAACTTCTTCAACAAGAGCCCAGATTCGCAGTCAGCCGGCTCCTCTGACTTCGTCCATGCGGGGCCACCCTCGATCCGCGCCACCAGCCAGCATTGATTCGTGATCGAAAAGTAGAGAACCGCTTCTCCGTCCTTGTAGTCCCCGAATGACGGGCTAATATGGCCCCTCTAGGTACTTAGGGATCTACGGGTAGATGGAGGGTCTAGCGCTTTTCCGTCCTTGTAGAAGGACGGCATGGCTGCCGTTCGTGGGCTTTCGGCCACGTGCAAAGAGTCCATTGGCACTGATGCATCTACTCCGACCAAGAACTCCAATCGATCAGCCTCTTCCATGGCTGCCGTCTCTTCACGCTTCAGCGTGGCAAGCACATCTGGTGCATCTTTGGGGACGTGTGTAGCAGCGGGACCCCCTTCTGCAGCGTGGTGTTGCTCCAAGTCGCCGGTCCAGCCCTCCAAGTCCTGTAGTCGGGTCTGCCAATCATTCGGCTGGACATTCCACTCAATGTGGACCTTACTTGCTGAGTATCAAAGGGCAACAAAAGGTTGTATAACCTTAGTCACACGACACCGAAAAAGGCTAAAGGCTACCTAGTCTACTACTAAGGGACCTTGTTTGAGGTGGCTGAAGCTGCCGAAGCCGCTGAAGCCGCCGAAGCCTCGGACCGAAATGCCTGTACGAAGCTCAAAGACCTTGGGGACATCGACTTCTTGGGCTCGTCTTGTTCCCGTTCAGCAGTTCTTGTGGAGCGCGAATATGTAACAACGAAGGTCTGACCGTCTTTGCCCTGGATTTGCACCGAGCCCCCACGTGCCGGTTTGCATTTGTAGTACCACAAGAGGAAGACAACGCCACCTCCTGCGAAGATGCTGGCACAAGCAAGAGCTATGGATATCAAGGGGAAGCTGGTGTCTTGCTCGGCGATGAGATCTTCAAACGGAACCACATGTACGATGGCGAGAAGCGACAGATGGGTGCTTCGACACCACCTCCCGCTCGAGCCACTCACGGCAGCCACCTGCAGTCCGGCGGAACTCCAGGTGCGTGAACTGTGATCGAAAAAAGCGCAAACATCCTCTGGCTGCTGTGCAGCATCGCTGAGTCTGAATAGAATGGGTTCTGCCAAATCCGAAACAGTTGCCACGGACACTTTGCCTTGAGCTTCCAGCAGGATGGAGATCTCGACGACTGGAGAAACCAACACAATCTGGCTGCTGCCCTCGCCGTCGCTGGGCATAGTCTCGGACAGGTCCGGCCAGACCTCTGTCACTGCGAGCATCGGGTTGGCTCCCTGCATCAAGTCTTGCACTAACTGCAGCGGGACCAAAACTGTTACACCCTCCATGGCTCCGCCCTTGCTGAATAACAGATGATCCGAAGCGTCGCCAGTGCCAGCGGCCAGGGTAAGGAGCTTGCTGACCTTGACTACTGTGACGTTTCCCGAGGCTGTGGCCGTCACGAAGGAATCGGCCTTCATCTCCATCAAGGCAAGTGCTTCCTGCAATGTGCTTTCCACGATGCGGCCCTCTGTCGTGTTGACTGAGACATCAGCTGGCAGCTGAATAACTCGCTGCACGGTGGTCGTGGAAGTCTTGCTTGTGCCTGTGGAAGTCGTTTGGGTAAGCGTGGAAGTCATCGAAGATGTGGAGGAAGTGGAAGCGCTTGACATCGTGGAAGTGGAAGATGTGCTGGAAGTTGTGGTCATTGAAGAAAATGTGGTGCTCGCGCCTGTGGCACTGGAGGTTGTGGAGCTTGAAGAAGCGATGCTTGAGGCCGGGGTGGAGCTGGAAGTTTGACTTGTGCTTGTCCACGACGCTGATGTTGAGATAGAAATCGTTTGGGCAAGCGTGGAGGTAGTCGAGAAACTGGAGTAAGTGGAACTGCTTGACATCGTGGAAGTCGAAGATGTGCTGGAGGCTGGAAGGATGGGAGTCGACGAGCTGGATATTGCGATCATTGATGTACTGACCGTGATGGATGTGATGGAGGACGTCGTCAAAGTCAATGAGGTGCCGGTTGAGGTCAGTGAGGAAGTTGTGACAGAGGTCTCTGTGACGCCAGTCGTCCTGACATCTTTCGGAAGACTTCTAAAACGCTTGGCTCTTCAAAGACGACAAGAGGATTTCGTACACTTGCTGGCATGGATCGTAGAACTTGTGGCTGTTGTTGCTGTAGTTGAGACCTCGGTCAGCGAAGGTCTGACAAACACCTCGCTGCCGTTGCAGCTTTCAGGCCCATGCCGTGGTGGTGGTTGATTGGCCCACATCTCCGAAGATGATTGATGTTCCGCCTGAAGATGCAATGTTGCCTGACAGGCGCAGCACGACTGCCAAGATCTCAAGCTGGACACGGCTTCCCACCAGGTTGGAGAGACTCTCCATACGTGTTGACAGCATAGATTACCACCTGAGTCTCCATCATCGCAGACAGGTTCGGAGCGACCCTTCCCGTAGGCTTCCAACGTGGTACCTGCTGCTCAGCTCGATGCCTGTCCAGAGCTCTCAGGAGCCATGTCAGAGGAGCCGCGGACCCCAGTACGCCTGTGCCAACCACTTCCGTCACGTCCCATGTGACCGGGTCGCCGAAAGCTACCCTGTTCAGGCCGGCCTCCCAGGGCCACAAACGCACTGAGCCCCTAGCCGGGCCTCCGCGAAATGGGAGCAATGCTGTGTGCCCCCTCAATTTGAGATCACAGCTAGTCCACCATTGGACTGCCAGCCCTCACTTCCCTACTTCCTTGCTTCCTTGCCCACCCAGCCATCCACCCGCCCGTCTGCCTGCCTATCTAACTGGTCACTCAAGCAAAAATCAATCACTCACTTGCGATACCACCACAAGCTGCAGGGGCTGCCGCATAACATGATAATTCGACTTTGAGCCTGGTCCTCAGCAAGGTACACAGCATAGTGGGTGATGTGGCCAAGGTCGGTGTTTGCGGCCAGTGTCCACCTTCATGTGTGTGCGATACATCCTGGTAAGGTGCAACGCAGGCCGCACAATGCAAGCCTGGCCTTACGGTTCCTGAGGCGAAGTTGCCTGCAGGATCCTCCAGGACACTGCAAATCACAGAGGCTGCCTTGAAAAGCCACCGTCCTCATCTGTGAAGGTGACCGTGTCAAAGGATGGCTGGCCAGGAACGGCGCCACTGTTGTCGTACCTCGGCTCTCATGCTTGTGCAAGCTGCAAACCGAGATCCCGTGCCAAAGATCCCTAGCGCACAGTCTCGCCTAATATCCGCCAAAGATAAAGGGACAGATGCATACACTAATCCCACGAAAGTGGGCAACTGAGCCCTCAGATTCTCGGGTTGCGGCAGTGGCAAGCTGGCCGCATCAATGTAGGTTGAGATAGTCCCACCCTGTCGGAGGGCATCGGAAGTTGCAAGAGCTTCCAAGAAATCCACGGCAAACTCTGAGGATCGAACAATGCTTGGGTAGACCAGCAGCCAGTTTGCAGGGAAGGCAGTGCCTGTCCTCAGGGCATGACACCGTCGACATTGCTAAGCGGCTTGGCGCAGCTACGCACCTCAGGCGCGAGCGTTCTTGTGGCCGGGGACGAGATTGTGTATGAGTTTGTGTTCGAGGGCACCACACCGAGTTGTTGCTGATTGCCTGGGCTCTCCCAAAATCAGAAGACCGGCTCGATGCTCCGAAGCCCTTGGGCTCACAGTGCCTCGTTGCCTTCCGCACAAAGCTTTGCCCAGATGAACCCCCCCTTAGCCCGTTCTCCTCGCCCAGCCCAGCCTGTCAGCGAAGCTTCTCAGCACGACTGCCAAAGAAGTTGGCCAAACGACAGGAAGCATGAGCCGTGGAGCTGATTAGTGACTAGTGCCAACCCATGACCCACGAATGTGTACATATCTCGCTCAGAGTCGCCACCCCGCACACCCACTTGCAGCCAGCACACTACCTTGCTGGTCGCTGGACATGTAGATGTCATACCTGGCATGCTGTGACAGAAGCGGAGAGAGAGCGCTTTTGGGTCACGTAGTCACTCGCTGTCTGACTCGCTGTCTGGCAAAGGTTCGGGCGACGTCAGTGCACTGGGATCGGCGGGAGGGTCCCAGGTGATTGTGCCTGGCCACACGGCGACTCCATTCCCTTCCAATGGCCCGTCTGGCAGCATCCGGCCTAGCAAAGTACCTGCGTTGGTGTCCGTGTCGGTGAAAGTGACCTCGCTTTAATTACTTTTTAGTCTCATTCCCGGCATCCAAAATAACCTGACCTCTTGAAGCTGTAGACAGCAGTAGACGATGGTATGTGGTACTCTCACTCTCGATCACAGTCTAAGCTTCCGGCAGTAAGTCCGCTCATGGATGTAAGAGGCTTGGTGGAAGTTGAAGAATACGTTGTGGTGGAAGTTGTCTGAAGGCCCCCGAACTGGCCGAACTGCACGACCTCTCTCAGTTTGGAAGATCGGCACAACCTACCACCCTGTTTGAAGCAGCTCGGGCAGCCACACTGCCAAAAGGTGCCTCGCGAAAAGCCGTTCTTCTCTTAAGCGCCTTGTGTGAATACCAGCAACCGCACCTTTCCCACTGCGTTGGACGCGTAGACGATGATCGCGTCGTCGCCTTGATTCAACCTGAGCTGGCTGTGAATTCATCCGCGACGGTGGGATTATTTTGTCATCTTTTGTCTGAGCGCTCAACGGCTGTGCCGTGAAAATGTACGACTTTGTCCCTAGAGGAACACTGGCGATATACCTGCAGGGACGACCCGTGAACCCATTGGGCTCAGCAAGCATCGGTGCTGCGGCCTCTCGCTGGAAGACAGGCTGGAACCCTGTCGCAGGGAAACGCATCGAAATCGTATCCAGCCATTTGACTCTTGCAAGCAATGGCTAGTAGTAGCAATCTGGACTCTAGACATCGGTTGCCAGTGTTGTTGCTGCTATGCGCCGTTGCCTGTGCCAGGTAGATGTCCCACTGGTCAATCAGGCTCCAATCCTCTCAACTTCTTCTCATACCACGATCCCAAAAGATAGAAAATAATACAAACATCAAGCAGAAACTTTGTACAACAGCTTTTCTGACCGGGTCCTCCCCCACATTTGGATACTCCGGGCCGGTGGTGTTCCTGGAAGAGAGGAAAAGATCTGGCCGTTTCTACGATTCGATTCCCCTGTAATTCGTTGTAATTGCACTACTTGTTGCTCCTGTTGTTTTCGTCTCATTGCCTTCATTCGCTCACGCTGCGCCTCTCGCCCGTGATGAGGTACCAACTAAAGCTACTCAAAGACTCCTTGCAGTTCTTGACAATGGTATGGTACAGAGTTCAACAGTTGAGCCCTTCAACCCCTGGCTTGAGACCTGGTTGACGTCTTTCTACTGTTGTTGTCGGGTGTGGTTCTTTGGGGTGCATTGTTGTCTTGTTCCTAGTAGGTCTCTCCTTTTTTGCACATGCTGTACTCTTAGTACTGCTACGCCTACTGCGGCTCCAGCTACGGTGATGGGCGAAATCTGCTTGTGCCGTCTGGTGACCGCTGAGCATGAAAGCAAGGTAGCAGGTAAGGTGCTTGAAGAGGTTTTGTGTGGAGGACCCAGCTGGGTACTTCTCCGGAAAGTCCGGTGGCACGGAATCACAAGCTCGTGTTCCGTTGGTTGCACCATGGTCGGATTTTGAGCCCCTGCAGTGACTAGAGTTGCAGGAGCTGTCATCACCATCATCAAACATCTTACCAAAAACCCCAAACCCTAAATAGACAGACTGATCTGAAACTAATTTAAGAACCCAAGCCCACACGGCCCTAAACTACCACTACCGCTACTGCTGCCACTGCCACCACCTCGACGAGGACGACAACTACTTCCTATGCCCACAAACTGAGCTCTGCGCCAGTACAACTCGCCAGTCAGCGTGATGTTGATTTGGTCTTCTGGGGTCGTGTCCTGACAGGTTGTGGGCTATTGTGTGGTGCACACTCGAAGCAATCTGCAAGGTTGCATCAAACACCCCGCCACGATCTGCAGCTCTTGAACGAAGATAGTGTCTGCTACGTGAGTCGTCTGGTTGTCCTCGGTGCAAAGGCCCGTGGCAGTTCTGGTTCAGCTGGAGGAACGCACTGAGCGCCTAGCCCGGATGAGGGCATGGCCAGCGTAAATGGCCTCCTGCTGTATAGATCCCTTGACGATGTAGACCTGAACAGTCTGACGCTCCGCAGCATTCCTGTGACGCGCTGGAGGGGTGCCCGATCACTTCTGTCTT